ATGTCGTTGGGCTGCTAACGTTGATCTTGTTGTCTTATATATACAATAGACACTAGCGTCAATAAACTTTTGCTTATAGCAAAAGCGGCATATAAAGTAGTGGCGTCTAGGATTAAGCCGTGACGCGACGCGGTAGCTATAAAGGTATATCCAGCTTTTCTTCCCGCGCTGCGACGCCAAAGGCTTTATATACTGAGGAAAGTGGTCCCAGTCAAGACCTTTAAAGGCGTCTACTAGGTGTTCGTCGAAGCCTATACTAGCAAGCTCGTTAGAAGCTATCGTTGCCTCCTCGCTGCCGTCAGCGGGTGGGATGATAGCTTCTCGAGCCTGCGTTTCGCGCAGCCGCGCTTCGAAGCTTGATACCTGGGACGCTTCAACTAGAGCTTGACGAGGTGATAAGCGAGAGGATGATGGCGGGCTTTCGATAGATATAGGCTGGCTTAGAGTACCGCGGGGCACGCCCCGAGACCGCTTTAGTGGGGTAGCAACAATAGCTTGGACGCGTCTTTTTAGTGGCATGCTTGCAATCAAGAAATTAGTAAGATAAGAAGATATATATAATAAATTGACACGTATAGTATTAGAGATAGAGGTAAGAGTTAACGTTACTATAGATTAGTAGCCTACGTAAAGGAGTTCATAGTTATTCTTCTTTTTTTACGCACGGGCGTATCAAGCTCATCAAGCTCTATCAAGCTCAGCTTGATGAGCTTGACGAGCTTGATACAGCTTGATACAGCTTGATGAGCTTGGCTTGACTCAGCTTGACCGTTGAGTCAATCCAGCTTGATTGATGAGCTTGACTCAGCTTGATTGTTGACATCTCTGTCTTACATAGTCACTGACTGCAGATAGACTCTAATGGAATAATAATAATAATAATAATAATGAATCAAGGCCTTCTAATATTGACCGCACTTAGGCTGCACTGGTTTTTTCTATCACAGCAGTTAAAAACATCAGCTGATGCGCAATCAGTACTTCCCGGGATACAACATGAATCTTTTGAAGCTTCGATCCGATTTTTCAAGACGCAGGTGATGTGCTATATACATTCAAAGTGTTATCTCATTGGTCTTGTCCTGATATCTCTTCTCAATGTCTTCTTGGTCACGCAAAACCTCTGCCTCTGCAGGAGCATCAATGTGTTCGGTAAACCCACCCTTGGAATTCTTCACCAAGCAGCTCACTATTCCAATCGTTAGGCATTGCTCAGATGGACAGGAATAAATCAGGGAAAAAAGAAGTTGACTCACAAAGTACAGCAAAACCCCCAAAGCACGCAGCTGCAATCCAGAGATCCCTGAAAGACAGCCTGTAGGCTTCTGATACGGCATGAGACGCTGCACCAATTATCGCTGGTGTGGAGCCCGGAACGGCAGCTACAGCAGCTGGGTTTTGGGATGCAAGTGCTCCAATCAGTGCAGGAAGGTCCTTGGGATTGAATCCTAGAGGAAGGACGGCTTCGGCGATGAAGCGAGGCATTTTGGATTGGAGACTGTTATTGTAAATTGCGTTGTTGATCGCTACCCCGACAGCACCCCCGAGAGATCGGGCGGCAGTAGGCAGACCTGAGCTGAGGGAAATTTGGTCTGCTGGACTGCTCATTTGAGCCGCCACTATGGTAGCCGTTAAGATCAACCCAAGGCCTGAACCATAAATGATCGCGTAGCCGTATGCGTTAGCCGCTGGGAGATTCTCCCGATAGAATACCATCACAATTGGGAATGTGGTAAGTAAGAGAAAACCAAAGATAAGTGGCTCCCGAACCCGCTTCGACCAGGTGATGTAGGCTCCTGTGAGGAATGCAGTCACAATCGAAGCCGCGAATAGGACGGCAAATCGAAAGACGGCAGGGAATGCGCCTACATGACCGACAATGATAAGCTCGAAGACGAAGAAATTGTTGACTGTGAAGAACGCTACACCTTCGATGAAGATGAGCAGTGTTGAAACTGGCAAGTTTCGGTCCTTGAAAAGACTGTGATGTAGAATTCCTTCGTTGGTGCCTTTCCATTCCCAAATGCCGAAAACAATAAGCAGGCAAATGCCGGTGATGAAGGGTCCAAGGACGTGGCCGTTGTTCCAAGGATAGGGATTGCGAGACCATTGGAGCCCGATGACGAATAAAATCAATCCTACGGCGATGAGAAAGCTTCCGATCCAGTCCATCTTGCGGAGTTTTTGTGATGTGCTAAGCGTGACTTCGAGCTCTCGTGGTGGCGGATTGTATCCAAAAAAGACGCCCACAAACCCGAGGACATACAGTGCGAAACATATGTACCAGTAGTTACGCCAGCTCTCGCCACCTGACCGCGTGAAGGCACCGCCAATTATAATTCCAACCAGCCCGCCGAGACCGGCTGATATGTTGACGCTAGCCTGACCATATCCACGATGTTTGCGATGTAAGACCTCGGAGGGGATGGCGTAGCAAAGAGCCTGGCAGGCGAATGCCATGCCACCGAGCGTGAAGCCAGCCAAGCAGGTCGCGATGTTCTTTGACCGAGACACAACAATGAATCCAATTACACCAAAAACGCAGGACGCTAGGATGAAAGGCTTCCTGCCCCAGTAGTCTGAGGCCTGGCTGGTGGGAAGAATCGTGGCCAGGGTCAAGATTGTTATGATCGCTCCGAACCATGCGGATAGGCTTGGTGCACCCAGAGAAGTGGCCATATCGCGAGCCAAAACGCCTGAGCCGACGACTGACATTAATTGTGCAGTACTGATGAAGCTGATGGCCTGTTTAACGGAATTTTTTGTGAGCTAGCGTCTTGCTCATGGAGAAAGATTACACACAGCTATTGCTACGATCGTCCTTGCGTGAATATGAACCTTCGCCTCCACAACGCCCGAGGCGACATCTTCTGTGAGCGTCGGAGATTCATTTTTGGTGACCATGGCTGCTTTCAAGCACCTCTCTAGGGTGGGGGATGACTATGACCCTAATTTATGGCGTCAAAGAGGACGACTTGGGTCGCGAGAGTGAAGTCTTAATCAATGAAGCATCAGGGGAACCTCGGCGATTTTGTATCAGCTGTTGAATACGAATTTTCCCCCACGACCCGAATGCCGTGACGCGTGGCGTCAATAGTGCGCAATAACAGAAGGCCAACTTGAGCGAACTAGTGCCCTATAGGATGTCGAGCTAGTATTAATATGCTGCTGACCGCCCCCGGTTTGTTTAGAACATTGCTTTCTATTCATAATTATCGAATTCAACATTAAAGTATACTTTCCCAGAAGGCTGCTCTCAATAATGTTCTTTCACAAGCATTCATTGCTTTGTGACGAGCCGAGGGTACTTGTCTTATATGAAAAAAAGGATTATAATATGAGTAGCTCAGCTTGAGTCATCTGCAAAAGGGCCGCGAACTCTGGGAATGACACCGAAGAGTCTAGGCTCTTGACTCGTTTCCCGCCCCTGAATCATGGTCCAGTCCCCGCATTTCGGCATAACTGAAATCTCCACACCCCGCATTTCCGGAATCTTAAAATCTCCACATCCCCGCATTCCCGCATGGCTAGGATCTCCACATACCGAAAGATGCAGCACACCGATACGGCACCCAGTAGCATGACGTCGCTATGTGGTATGTCTGCAACAAACTAGCGCTGTATTTAATGCAGTTGACACCTTGACTCACATGCCACATCTTGGTCCCAAAGCGTAGTCCCAGGTTTACTTGAAATCTATGATTGAAACATCCTAACTCCCACAATGCTTCCCCGAAATTTGGGTGACTCTTTCGATCAGTGGCCCACCAGGCAACGGCTGGTTGGTATTACCGCTTGCATAGTTGTTTTTGTCTTCATTTCGAAAGTGAGACAACCCTGTCGATCTGTAGTAACTAAACGATTACCTTGTGACTGTTGCTTACTGTGTTATTCGTATAGCTGGTTGTCGATTGGTTTCGCGACCCACTAAAGCATATTCCAGGTCCCCCTTCAACTCGTTTATCGGGCTGGGAAGTTGTACTAGAGGGACTGAAGGGACGTCGTATCTATGTATGCACCTGGCGTTGATAGTTTCGCTGTCCAGTTCGCTGATACAATTTCAGAAAGTCGAAGACTATCACAAAAGATATGGACCCATAGTTCGAATTGGTCCTAATGAAGTCTCAGTCGCTGGGTGGCAACATCTTCGATCCATCTATACAAGCAGCAAAATCGCGGTTAAGGACCCCTCATTCTACCAAGCCGCGTCTTTTATTGGGAAAAACAATATATTCCAGATGCTGTACGTGCGCTTGTCAAATTGCAGTATAAAGCTTATTTCAGTAGAAATCCAGCTGAACATGCAGCCCGCCGGAGACTTAGCAGTCCACCCTATTCCCTTCAGTCGGTCGGCAGACTGGATCCTTTGATCCGGCAGTGCGCAAAAAGAATGGTGCAGCGATTCATTACTGGCGCTAGTGCTGCAGCGACACATACAGTCGACGTATACAAGCTTTGCGGTCTTTTCAGCTTCGAGGCCATTTGCCAAGCTGCATTCGCGAAAGATTTCAGTCAGGATGCGAACAGCCAAGCAGCGGTCAAGCTGTTAGAAGCCATGGAGGGCAGTGCACTTACACTCATTTTCAACAATGTCTTCCCGTGGCTCAAATCATACGGCCTAGGGCTGCGGCTCCCAGGATTCGTTGGAGACGTTTACCGGAAATTCGATTATTGGGAACAACAGTCACGTTTACTTGTGGATCACTTCCTTGAGAAGTCGGCTTCTAATGACCAATACCTCCTCTCGCCTCTTGCAACGGGCGTTGATACCTTCCTTGGGCGTAGATTGAACCATGATGAGCTTGTAGAGGAAGCGATGGGATACATGTTTGCCGGCAGTGGAACAACATCTTCGACCCTAACTTATCTCTTATACGCAGTATCTCTGCCTGAAAATGCGCACATTCAAGAGCGATTGCGGGAGGAACTGAAGAGCTCGTCTACTCAGGATACTGCAGTGCTTCGTCAACTACCTTATCTGAACGCCGTAATCAAAGAAACGATGCGCTTGTTTCCTACGATCGTTTCCACCATTCCTCGCGTTCTTCTCGAGCCATTGAAGATATATACCTATATTCTACCTAAAGGTACTGTCATTGGAATGCAGAACTGGGTACATCATCGGGACCCTACAGTTTTCCCCCAACCTGAACACTTCATCCCAGACCGTTAGCTGCAGAGCTCTGAAGCCATGGAGGGTGCTTTGACGCCATTTGGCATTGGTCGGAGAAACTGCATAGGCCAAAACCTTGCATGGGAAGAACTTTATCTGGCAATTGACGAGATCATGCGTGCAGACTTACGACTGTGCATTGGGCCAGAAATGCAGGCCTGGGAGACGGAGATAGAAGATCGATTTAATATCGCACCTCGAGGCCATAGGCTCATGCTTGAGATTTCAAAAGCTTAGACCTACTTAAGGAAAATAGTGACTTTAGACTAGGCATCAATTTAAAGAGATAAGTGATGATAGCAAAGCGCTACTACTCAACCATCAACTGAAGAGGCTGAGCCTGAATCTTCAATATTTTCAATCCCGATAATGATATGCAAACATCTTGCCTGATAGACACTGATACCCTATGACGCTGTGGTGGTAGTGCATGATATATCATGTGCATAACATTAGCAGGAGCATACAATCAAAACCTGCTCGTATCGTAATTTCCTGACAAATGATAACAGGAGTCAGGGAGTGATAATTGACTGAATTCTGACATTTGCTTAAAATTTACGTCGATCTCGATTGAAGCACTGACCGCACATGTAAAGCCACCGCAACAAATCTTATATGTCTAGCACAAGATGATCAAGTATACCTTGCGTTTGTCCATGACTGATCCACAGATTTGTTTCGAAGTTTTTATCAAAGGCATACTATTGATTCCAAAGATTTAATAAGATTGAAAATGTAGATGAGGTAAGATATCCTATCTAGTAGACTGGTCTTGCTGTTGAGACATCGGGAACACCTACGCCTTCCACTAGTTTAGCGCCCATAATCTCGTACACTGGCAATTCGGATAGTCTTGAGATGACATGATGTAAGGTGGGCAATTGCTCCCAATTGAGAGGATCGATATCAAAGGTTGCCTTTCGCACCTTGTAGAACTTGGTCGGCCTCGGGGTGGTGGTCGCTTCGCAGAATGCATCCCAGATCGCATATTCCTCGGCTGGAACACCCTTATTACTGTAGCCTACCGTAGGCATATACCGGTAGGCGAGGATACCGTCATCCGCTTCCCCGCTGATGGATCCGATTTCCGATGCAGAATCGACCTCTTCCAGCCCTTCAAGGAGGAAGTTACCCCAGAATGCACCCTCCCAGCCCGTGCGAATACGGTAGCTGTGGGAACGACGATAAATATCAACTGATGTATAAAGCTTTGGCATACCAAGCTCCTCTCGTCCTGAGACGATGGGATCTGTCAAGGATTCGAAGAGGATAGGGAGATATGAGCCGTTTAGCACGCTTCCATCTTGCTTGACATATTCAACACCGTGAATGTAAAGTCCAATATGTTTGTATCCAGAGCCTCCGAGCCATTCCATCTTGTTTAAGGTTGTTTGCGAAAATGAGGCATATGCTACTGTACCAGGTGACTTGAAACGCCAACCTTGACGGCCTGGAGGAAACAGATTCTGAAGAACTGTGCGTGAAGTCTTGAATTTGATCGAAGCGGTCGTAAATGTGGAGTTTGTGCCATCTCGAGGAATTCCCAAATGAGTTTGCCGTGGTCCTGGCATGGGGCCGAATGCAATTGGCATACGCCAATATGGCTTGGGTATGCGGCTCCACTGCCATTCACGGAACTTCTGTGTGGAGTTGTCCCATTCGTCGTGCCCGAAATTATAGTTTGTGAACCTGGACACTGCTTACAATGAGACATGACACATGAGAATCAAGGAAGGTTCATTTGCGCCACTTACTGTCTTCTGCAGTCTTGTCGTTAAGATCCGCACCTGCAAGGCGAGAGTGCTCTTGGATCCGATCGGCCCTGTCCTTGCGAATTCTCTGATAGAGCTCTAACCTCTCTGAGATGTCCTCTGGTTTTATCCCCGAAGGTAGTAAAACGGCAAGAGACGCAGCGTCTTCGATCGCAACACCGGCCCCTTGGCCTTGATGGGGCAGAAACGGATGCGCAGAGTCTCCAAGCAGCGCCAGGCGTTGATTGGTCCAACCTGGAACCACCTGCATGTCAAGTAGCTTCCATATCTTGATACTTTGAGGGTCCGCTTTACTGAGCAGACTTAGTACGGAAGCATCGAATGACTTGTAGACCTGTAGGAGCTTGTCAAGGTTGCTGGTCTGGTCCCAGTTCTCGCCAGCTTGATCTGCCGTCTCTCCTTCCGGATGAACGCAGACAAAGTTCAACACAGAGTTGTTCGAAGTGGGATACACAATGATTCGACGGTCACTGGCATACCAGATGATCAAATTTCCGGGGTTCTCGACAAATCCTTTCGTGAGTGGATCCTCAGCTGCCAAACTCCGAGACACAAGGAAACGGAAAGCACTTTTTCCGCTACTGAAAGGCTTCACATCGCTACCTGGGATGAATCTTCTGCAGACAGAATGTACTCCATCAGCAGCAATGACTAGATCACCTCCAATACTAGAGCCGTCCTCAAAGGTCACTGTAGCAGTGCTTGGATCAACTGATACGGCTTTGCTTGATGTTTTTAGCTGAAATGAACCGTTTGCTCTAGAGCTTTGCGCAGCTTCTTTGAGACTATTATGTAAATCGATGCGATGAGCAAGAAGCCACGGCTATCATGTGCAAAAGACCAGTCAGTGACGACATTGACAAGAGATTGGGAACTTTACATGTTGCCATTGCTTGTTGGACTCTCGGAGGTCCGTTGAACGCAATACCTCTCCAGCTGAGGTGTACTCCGTCAACTGTAATTACAAGTTAACTATGACAAGGTCACTAGCGATGTTTTGGTCTCTCTCTCACTCTTTCCATTTCGTTGGCGCCGAACTCATCGGCGAAGATTCCAAGGCGCCTCAGAATGCCATTGGCATTGGGAGCAAGATGTATAGCAGCTCCATTTTCGGAGGCAAATGATGACTGTTCAAATACCTGTTGCAAATTTCAACTTATGCGTACAGCAGTGGCGGGGGCGCATGAACCAACCTGTACATCGTGACCTTGTCGACGCAAAGCAATCGAAGCGGTCAACCCTCCGATGCCCGCTCCTATTATGGATATTTTCAAAGGACGAGTAGAACCAGGTTGTTCCATCTGTCCATTCGAAAATTCATCAATAATAGTTACTTTGCGGTCGTTAGGGTTCATACTGTATATCCGGTGCAAATACAAGATCTGAGGTTTGGATTCTTTCTTGGACGACATACGATATGTTGGCCGCAGTCGGAATACATATTGTTTGAAATATTGGTTTTAGTCAGACGTGTCTGAATCATTGAGATGTTTTAGATGGGAGGGGGGAGGGGGCTAGCCTGGATTGGTTTTGGGATTACAGTGGGGGACTGCGGGACTCTCGGGACCACATTTGACAAGCTCCGAGCCGAAATTCTGCTCCACTGCAAACCACTAGGGTTAGCGTTACCCCAGGAAAATCTGCTCAATTCCACTTGCGCGTAATGGTGCATTGCACCTGGGGTAGACAAGAACAGCCAGTCTAGTGAACACAATCTGTATGCGTGATGTAAGGTCATACGACTATGGAGTAAGAATGTTATTGTTCCATTAGAGTCTAGTGAGCTCGAGGCTATGTAAGACTTTGGCCGAGGCCGTTCTAACTAGATTTATTTACAAATACGAGTTTGTGCTTGAAGTGTGTCTGTGGTGCTTCGGCCTTTGTCTAGGTAAGCGATAGCTATCGCTTACTAGACGCCTAGTGCTAAAGAGCATTTTGATAACAGAAAGAGATGTTAGA